ATGTATATATATATATATACATATTTAGGAGTCAAGCTTCCCTTTCTGTCCTGTTTGGCTTCATGGGCCCCTCAAGCCTTTCACCCCGCCACCAACAACGTCTGACTTGAGACAGTATGTTTGCGCAATTAAGCGGAGCGATGCCGAATGATTAGATTCAGGAAACTTGCATGCTTGAAAAGGAAGGGATGGAGATCGATTCATGATGGCACAGCTACCGTCTTCTGGGCAACAATGTTAAAACATAAGCCATTGGCGTTGGGCTCTTACACAAATCTCGGATTGATGATCCACAGCATCCCTCCTGATTTCAATTCATATAAGAGTGACAAAGGGTAGGGAATACAAGAATGGGCAAGTTGTCGGCGGCAAAGCAAAACATAACAAAGCAGTAGTGAAACCAAGGTAGCAAACCCATACAACAGATGCAGAAATGCCTCGCAGCGCATTCTGGATGTATGTTTCTTTTAGCCCTTGCACGGCTTGGTTTGGTTATATTCTACCGTTTTAGTTTTGGGGGTAGAAAGGGGGATCCGCTTCCGATCCACTGCTGGCTTCTCCCCGATGAGCATCCGGTTGAGGCCATGAAAAAGAACCAAGACTTCGGCTTGTCGACTGAAAGGGTCGATTGGGTAGAGAAACTTGTTTGCGGTTCGATCGAACACGGGAAAACTACGACTTTGGAGGGCCCCGATGTTTTCGCACACCTGTTTGTGCGCCTGAATCATGCCGCGCGGGTTGCACAAGCTTAAGATCCCTGCCAACTCCGCCCTCGACGCCCCATGGTCGAGCTCACGTAAGGCTCTAGGGGTTGATTCCCCATTCTTTCCAACCATCGTTCTTTCCAACAACTGGCCGTTGTCCCTGGGTTTCCGGAGGTTTTCTAGAAAGAAGGATCCCTGGAAAGAATGGGAAAAGTATCCCTGGAAAGGCAAAACATTGGAGTGCGGAAACGGGGAGCTTGGCTTCAGCTCCAAGTGGACTTCGCATGTCACAAGCCTAAGGTCCTGCGAGCATTTCAAGACAAGCATCTGTGCGAGAACCGCTTGGATTCCTCAAGACCTCAAAAAAAAACAGGACTCTAAGAAAAACGAAGAGTATCCAAGTGTCACTGCAGCTTGGAATTCAAGGTTGAAGCTAATTTCTCATCCATTGGAAGACACCGCTTCTGTCTCCCTGCGCCCTCTCGCGGCAACCTTCGTTTTGTTTTTTTTTCGCGCCTTTCAGCACCTGGATCTCAGGGCGGAAGGGGTAGAAGAACCTCACCTCAGCCGAGGGACGTGAAACTTGTGCCTTTGACACCAACTGAAAAAACTACTGCTGTGGTCACTGAAAACAAAGCCTGGTAAACAAGCAACAGAGCTGGCCACGGTCTTCCTCACAAGGTCTGTGACAAACTGTTCAGCTGGGTGTGATGACGAATAGTTGGACAACACATTGACATGAATCAGAAGTTTGTCAACTTCTGATAACTGGCAGAGGGAATGTGTCGAAAGAATCCCTGAAAAATAGTGGGCTATCAAACGATATGACCATATCGGTTTTGGAGTTAGTCTTGAAGGTGGGTTGCACATGTCTACAAATGCATGCGTACACATATGTATATATATATATATACATAAATATATATATATATATATATATGTATATTTGTATGTGAACATATGCATACATTCACGTACACATGTGCACATATACAACACACATAGACAGAATCGTAGATACACAAACGCATGTATACGTTTTTGCACCATATGTATTTTTGTTCCAGTCCACAGGCCATCAACCCCCCCCCTTTTCAAGGGTAGGGTCCCCCCCTCCCGGGATGATGCTGGCAATGCTGGGGATGCTGTCCAGTACCGCATGCCCTGCAGCTCCGGTCCCAGACTCGCACCCCTTTTAGCGTGAACCTGCACCCCAGCACCGCGACATCCTACCCAACCCACCCTACAACCCCCACCCTTAACCCCCTAACCCTAAATCAACCCGAACCCCAAACCCACCCTAAACCCACCGTAAACCAACCCACCAACCCACCAACCCGGCGGGGGGATTCACGGCCTGGAACACACATATATATATATATATATATCTGTCTATGTAGTTATTTGCACATAAATGCATATATACACATATACATACATACATGTCTATATATATATATATACCTTGGTCTTCTGGGGACCTCGTTTTAGCGGGTTCTTTCGAAATGTTCGTTGAGCGACCTCACTTTCAGCGGCCTCGGCCTTGTTTGCGGCACTTGGCTTGTTCAAAACAATAGTGGGGCATGGCGTGTGACTAGTCTTATTTGAATAAGCTTCAACATCCTAATGTTGACATCGGTGAGAAAATAGGGTATTTTTTCAGGTGTCTCTCCCTGACACTTTTGAAAGCGACCTGCTTTTAGCGGGCCTCTTCGGAAGTACCTGATTTTCGCGGGTCTTTGGAAGACCAAGGATATATATATATATATATATACATTGCAATATGCAGTTACATATTATGTATGTGTGCATACTTATATATATATACACATGCATGTACATGTCTACATAAGCATAATCCGCCGACCCCGCCTAGGAGCGTGCTCTGGCGGGGCGGCGCCTGGGATACCGAAGGTCTCATCGAAGGGCCGCCGAAAGTCTCATCGCGTGCGTGCCTGCGCCTCTCGCTCCACCGTCGCTAGTCTTCGTAACGGGTTCCGAAACTGCGCGTCCGGCACCCTCCGCGCGCGCCTTTTCGCTCCATTTGTGGTACTTTTGGGCACGCCCTGCCACTGCGCTTGAACGTTTCGGGGGGCGCGGGGGGCGCGCCTCTGCGTGACTGCGGCCCGGCCGTGCCTGGGCTGGGCTTGGCCCTGTCGCCCCCGGGCCCCTCCTAGTCTTCGTAACGGGTTCCGAAACTGCCGTTCCGGCACCCTCCGCACACGCCTTTTCGCTCCATTTTTGGTACTTTTGGGCACGCCCTGCCACTGCGCTTGGGCGTTTCGGGGGGGGCGCGGGGGGCGCGGGGGGCGCGCCTCTGCGTGACTGCGGCCCGGCCGTGCCTGGGCTGGGTTTGGCCCTGTCGCTCCCGGGCCCCTCCTAGTCTTCCTAACGGGTTCCGAAACTGCCGTTCCGCCACCCTCCGCACACGCCTTTTCGCTCCATTTTTGGTACTTTTGGGCACGCCCTGCCACTGCGCTTGGGCGTTTTGGGGGGGGGGCGCGCCTCTGCGTGACTGCGGCCCGGCCGTGCTGGGCTGGGTTTGGCCCTGTCGCTCCCGGGCCCCTCCTAGTCTTCCTAACGGGTTCCGAAACTGCCGTTCCGCCACCCTCCGCACACGCCTTTTCGCTACATTTTTGGTACTTTTGGGCACGCCCTGCCACTGCGCTTGGGCGTTTTGGGGGGCGCGGGGGGCGCGCCTCTGCGTGACTGCGGCCCGGCCGTGCCTGGGCTGGGTTTGGCCCTGTCGCTCCCGGGCCCCTCCTAGTCTTCCTAACGGGTTCCGAAACTGCCGTTCCGGCACCCTCCGCACACGCCTTTTCGCTCCATTTTTGGTACTTTTGGGCACGCCCTGCCACTGCGCTTGGGCGTTTTGGGGGGCGCGGGGGGCGCGCCTCTGCGTGACTGCGGCCCGGCCGTGCCTGGGCTGGGTTTGGCCCTGTCGCTCCCGGGCCCCTCCTAGTCTTCGTAACGGGTTCCGAAACTGCCGTTCCGCCACCCTCCGCACACGCCTTTTCGCTCCATTTTTGGTACTTTTGGGCACGCCCTGCCACTGCGCTTGGGCGTTTTGGGGGGCGCGGGGGGCGCGCCTCTGCGTGACTGCGGCCCGGCCGTGCCTGGGCTGGGTTTGACCTGGTTGACTTCTTATGGAAGCTAATGACTTGACATGTTGACTCAAATTCTGCTTTCTCCGCCGGCGCCTCCTGGGTGCCTAGCGGGCCTTTTGCGTCGAGATGCTGTTGCAAGCCAGTCTTTGGACTGCGCTGTATGTGCAAAAACACGCCTCGCGAACCTGCCTGCGCAGGAACTGGTGGGCTTTTTTCTCTGCGCTCTATGCGATCCGACCCCCGCCATGGCGCGGGACGAGTGCCGCTGCAACACATGGACGCTAACTGCCCGCAAAAAAAAACAGGGTCGGCGGCACCCGGGCGTAGCCCGTTCTATATGAATGCGCTGCATGTGCTGCTGGCCAGCTGGAATATGATGACACCCAAACAAAGTCTAGCAATGCGTCAGCAATGGTCAACATTATCTTCCTAGTACCTGGGAAGATTTGTCACCAATGACCAAGTGTTCATCCTAGAAGGCTTCACACATTTGCTTGGGCAGTTGTATATATGCAGGCATACTTACATCCCGTCAGAATCCATTCCTTTGCATAGGTGTCCTTTTGGGGGAATAGATGGCCCTGGTAGATGATTAAACCACCAGGTAAACCAGTGCCATCTATTCTTCGACCAAAACAACCAAAAAGGACACCTATGTTCCTTTGTCGCAGGTCCTTCAAAGGGTAAAAGATTACCCGTCCACTTTACGCATTTTGCCTGTCACCTGTCGTAATTCCACTGGCGGCCCTTCTGAGTCTGTTGCCGAAGCGTTGGGGGCACTTCAGGCAGCCCGCCGCACCAGGCAGAGAGCGTATCAAACCTGGGAACATGACCTTCCCAAATGGTCCCCCCAAGAAAAACAACAGAAGGTGGTTTTTCTTTTGGTGTCCCTTTGAAACCAAACACGGTGTCCTCAAAGGACAGGCCCAAATGGCCACAGGTTTTGAACTTCTCGGGAAAAAGCACCGAGGATTTTCCCGACTCGCCCGACTCGCCCCTTCGCCTCCTGGAACTCGATGGTGCCGGCGTCCAGCTTCTCCTCGGTGGAGCCCTCGGGCTCCAAGCCCTCGATGAGGCTCTGCCGGTCCAGGAGCTTGAACATGTCGTGGCACGCCACCTTCGCCTCGCAAAAAGACAAAAAGTACGGGCGGCGTACTAAAAACAATATATATATATATATATATATGAAAGTGACTGCAAACCCAAAAAAACGCTCAAAGTGGCTGAGTTGAACATGACATGTTTGCAATGCGTCACTCTCGACAAGTTGCTTTTCAGGTGCGCCAAATCCAACATGGCGTGCACTTCAAAATAAGGTGCACAAAAACATGTCCCTCCAATGGGGAGGAGTATTTTGGGGATCCCTCAAATGGCAATGGTGACGTCAACGATTTGCTTTTCAGGTACCCCAAATCCAAAATGGCTTGCAACAGTGGTCCTGGGCGGAAAGGGGTACTCCCAAAAAAAGAAGAAACGAGAAGCCCGTGGAGTCTCAATCAACAACCCGAACTTTAGAACCAGCGGGTGCCACATTTGGACTTAGTGCAAAAGAAGAGCCAAGCGCGGCGGTTTACTGCTTGCTCGGTGTGGAACTTGCATCATCCCTGGAAACCCTGTTCATTTGGGACTAAAAACAACATCGTTTCAGGTGGCCTGGGATGCGTATCGGCTTAGGGTGGCTTTAGGCTAGGTTGGATTCCGTTGGTTTCAGGTTGGGATGGATTTTACCGTTTCAGCTTGGTGTTGCGCTTGGTGTCGCGGGAGAGTTCTGGATTGATGTCGGCTTCTCAGGTCCTGATCCAGCCTCCATTTCTGACCGCGGGAGACGTCTCATTTAGATGGATCCACTTAGATCCTGAGATCGCTGCAGAGTCGATTGGGCGGGAAGCAACTTAGGCTTCACAACGTATCCAGAAGGGCGGAATGCATCTTTGCTGGCTTGAACACGTTGGATTAGGTTAGATATAGAGTGGAGTTGAAAGCCGAGGTTGGTCTGGAGTAGCTAAGGTTCAGGTTGGGGTTAGCGTTTCGCTTCAAGGACTGAGGGTTTCGTGCGAGGTTCATGTTGGTTTAGAGCTTTGCGGTATACCGTAACCTTGACCGAAGACCGCGCGATCCAGCGAAAAACGTCGATTTGTGGCTTTGCAATGCCCAACCTTCAGAGAAATCCGATGTCACATTGAGGTGTTGACATTCTTCTGAAACATCTCCATGGACTTTTGTTCGTCTCCCTCCGGCCCCCTTTTGGCCAGAAGGTCCCGGCCGTTTTGCGCGCCTTGGCGCCATCGCCCACCATCACAGCGGCCTGGCCGGCGCCCATGCCTGCGTAGAAGACGCCCATGAAGGCCATCATCACCCCCTCGAAGTCCGCGCTGCCGTCCTTGATCCTGGGACCAGGAATTTAGAGTGGGAGCTACTTGGGAGAGGCTGGTGCCTTCCAGTGAAAGACCTAGGGAGATATGGGAGTTACTTTGGAGAGATTGGTGCCTTCCGGAGGCAAAAGTGACTTGCTGGTGAACTTTTTGTTTCCCGGAAGTCCACTTTCCAAAAAGTTAAAGTCCAAGGATCTGCAAGTTGTACAATAATTCCAACACCTGAAATAAGGAAACCCAAGCTGTGAGCTCGTCCCAAACCGGGTTGGGTATCTTGGCGCTCTGTTTCGCATTGGGGTACCGGGAATCTCGATAGTCCTTGCAACTCACAACTGTATAATGTACACAATCCCGGATGGCCATGTTCCGTCCAGTCACAGTATATTGGTCCGGTCTGCTTGCGGAATACCCAAGGTCGCGAGAAACGTCGCTTTATGTCGCTTTACGCTTCTTACGTCTTCTTACCACTTTCCTTTGAGACACCTTTGCCAATTCTTAGGTCGCTTTGCACGACCTCTCCCTAATTCCAAGTTGTTTCCATTTGAGTGATGCCTGGATTGGTCCCTTTCGCCCGTGAAGTTCGACTATTTGATTGGGAAAACCGCCCATTTTCCAGCATTCAATGTGGGGCCACCATGGACGAATCATGCGGAAAGCCCCACGGTTTTCTGCGGTCGGATGCCGCAAGGCATATGAATCCAAGGGGCAGCAACGACGCTGCATAGAAGCCCCCGGCCATGACGAAGAACATGACACCTGGGCAAAACCCAAAAGTCCCCCCCCGGTGGCTTTTGCAATGAGTTTAAGTCTACCTCTGGGCGGTACAAACATGGAACTCTGGGCAGCCGGTTTCCCTGATTCGAACCAATCATTGCAAGTTCAGGAGAGACATCAGGAACCCCCTCCTCACCAAAAAAGTTTTCTGAACCCTTCTGCGAACCCGTTCGGAGTAGGTTGCTTTCCTGGGAGGGTGGGTTTTTGTCTACTTGCGCAACGCACAAAGACCCATTGACGCTACCACTGGCTAGGTTTATGTTCGCCTTACCGTAAGTTTCCAAGCCGTAGACTCCAACTACAACTGCCAATGAGGTTCTTGGTCGCTGCCACTTGCAACTTGCTCGAGGCAGGGACAACATCCCCTTCCCACGCACCAGTCTCTAAGTGAGGGCGGCATATGCTCAGACGGTTCGTAACTCTTTTCAGAACAAACGAGCAACACCCCAAGCCATGTGGAACAACCGCTTGCACACCCAAAAACGCCAGAGCCAAAAAGAGGCAAGTGCCCTATGAATACTTAAGTTAGACCCCACGTTTGGA